TCTATCATTATTTTTGGCTGTTTTATAAAATGTCTCTTCAACAGGTCGTAGTAATTTGGCTCGATGGTACGTACATTTCTAGGAGATAATTATCGATCAATGAAAGATGAGTTTAACCAAAAAATTGATTCTACAGTTTCATCATCATCTTCTGATGAAATCGATAGTGTGATATGTAAGGAAACAAAAGAAGATCTTGTAACAAATGGAGCTCCAGTTATTACTGTTGCAACATCAGATGAAGCGATACAACAAATTATTAAGCATCCTACAGCAAAAATTTTCTTCATTTCATCTGGTAGATTAGGTAAAGATATGGTGCCAATAATCGTAGGTCAATATCCTCTTATTCATTCATTTTATATTTTTTGTTTTGCAATGGCTGAACATGTTAAATGGGCATCAGACTACATTAATTGTCTTTAAATGTTCGATCATCCAATTGATTTATTAGTTCAACTTATGCGTGATATTTCGGCTTACTTTATTGAACAAGGAAAAGGATATTTGATATGTAATGATCCAAATAATGCATTGAAATACTTTAAACATGCTTGGAATCTTGAAACACGAGCAAATGAAAAAGATAAAGTGCCACCAAACACAAAAAGCAAAGAAAAACATGTTGTTCAAAAAGATTGTCGCACTCGTCTAAATTTATTAGAAGGCGAAAATGGACTTATTCGTCAAGCTGAAAAGGCTTTAGACAAATAAAAAAAAATAAAAAATCTTACACTGTTAATAAATACAAATATAAAGTTTTGTTCCATACGTGTTGCTACTAAATTATATATTCACAGTATTTTCTATTAATATTAATCATGCATTGGTTCACTTATTATTCTAAATAAAAAAATACCTAATGATGCTATTACATCAAGTAAAAAAAGCACTAGATCATATGCTCATTTGACTTGATCCGTCAATACAGACATTGAAAAGAATGTGGATCTGTGGAAAAGTCGGTTCGAGCACACTTAATCCCAAAAAAAAAATTAATAGCTATATATATGTCGTATCGAAGTTAGCATGTTTATCGAAGTTATAACTTCGATAAAATTTTTATCGAAGTTACAACTTCGATGCTTCCTTTTATCGAAGTTTAACTTCGATAGAATTT